ATCGCTGCGATTTCGTCCCACACGGCAGGCTCAGGTTTGATCGTCATGTCCTCGCAGAGCTCCGCCTGGTAGGCGGTCAGCAGCGAGGAGACTTTGAGCGCCCTGGCGGACAAAGCTGCGGCTTTATAGGCTCGTTCGGTCATTGCTGACTGGAAGCGGTCTGCCTTTGCCGGTAGCGTGGGGTTCCTGCTCGGTGCTGAAGCCAGCCGCGGTTGGAGGTGGGCTGCCACCAGCGGCTCCATGGGCGGCATGCGGAGCAGGCCGAGCTTCTCCATGCCGTCACAGTCCAAAGAGGAGGCACCCATGATTGGGGCCTTGTTGCTGAAAGGGCGGTCTCTCCACGAGACCGACACCTCGTTCAGCATCTCTGGAAAGACTGGGAGAAGCTGCTTCTTCATCCTCGCTGCTTGGGGCAAGTTCTTCCCCTCATAGCGAGATCTGGAGGTCTCCTTGGCCACTTCAGGCCAGGGGATGTCCAGCCTGGACGCAGCGCGTTGGCACACGGCCTGCAAGTCCATACTGAGGCAGGGTGAAGCTGGTGTGCTTTCGCCCGGGGGAGCGGACATCGCCTCCGGCTTGGCAGCCTGGGCAGAGGAAACAAAGATGTCATCTTCGTGCTCATCCGAGTCGGATAAGAGGAACTCAGAGGCATTCTCTTCATCCTCCTCCATATAATCCAGCTGTAGGACATCCTCCGCGGGTGGAACCACGGTGAGGTCCAGTTGGGAGCCCCAGCTTGACACAGCGCGGGGCTCCGCTCTCGCGGCTCTTGCCGCCACCGGGCCCCAGCCTGACACGGCGCGGGGCTCAATCTCCGCGGCGGTCGCTACCATGTCCCGATTGCCGGCCGGCGAATCAACGGACATGAAGGGGTCCCGTACCGACAGGCTAGCTTGGTGCGCTAGCCGTCGGCGGAGGCTCTTGATGGTGAAGCGGGCACAATGCCCGCACGAACCGGGGGTATCGATAGCTTCCTGGGCGTGTTCCAGCCCAAGGTAACCCGTATCACTAGGCTACCAGGGTGGGTGGAGGGGGGTCAGGAGGACGGGACTGAGCTGACCGCCCAGAGGCACAGCAGAAGACCAGGAAGGGATCTCGGGCGGACGGCCCGGGGGCAAGGCAGAGTTCAAAAAGGGGGATTCGGGCGGACGGCCCAGGGGCAAGGCAGAGTCTAAGGTGGGGGACTCGGGCGGCCGAGCATGAGGGCGAAGGCAGCGGCAGGAAAAGTCAGGGGGCCGGGCTCGCGGGCGAAGACCACGGCTCACAGAGGGCCGGGATCGAGGGCGAAGACCGCGGCTCAATGGGGGCCGGGCTCGAGGGTCGAAGACCGCGGCTCACAGAGGGCCGGGATCGAGGGCGAAGACCGCGGCTCTCAGGGGGCCGGGCTCGAGGGCGAAGACCGCGGCTCTCAGGGGGCCGGGCTCGAGGGCGAAGACCGCGGCTCTCAGGGGGCCGGGCTCGAGGGCGAAGACCGCGGCTCTCAGGGGGGCCGGGCTCGAGGGCGAAGACCGCGGCTCTCAGGGGGCCGGGCTCGAGGGCGAAGACCGCGGCTCTCAGGGGGCCGGGATCGAGGGCGAAGACCGCGGCTCTCAGGGGGCCGGGATCGAGGGCGAAGACCGCGGCTCACAGAGGGCCGGGATCGAGGGCGAAGACCGCGGCTCACAGAGGGCCGGGATCGAGGGCGAAGACCGCGGCTCTCGGGGCCGGGATCGAGGGCGAAGACCGCGGCTCTCAGGGGGCCGGGATCGAGGGCGAAGACCGCGGCTCTCAGGGGGCCGGGATCGAGGGCGAAGACCGCGGCTCTCAGGGGGCCGGGATCGAGGGCGAAGACCAGAGAGCTCCGGAGGCCGGGCAGGAAGGCGCTGACGGGCCAGCGCCGGAGGCCGGGCAGGACCCGGTGTCGGCCGGACAGGAACCGGAGCTGGTGGGACAGGCCTCGGCAGGATCCCCCACGGAAGAGGACCAGGACACGGGATTGGCAGGACCCCCGGCGAGACAGAGGATGGCGGGGCCTCCAACAGAACAGGACAAGGGGTTGGCAGGACCCCCGGCAGGAGAGTAGATGGCGGGACCTCAAACGGGACAGGACAAGGGGTTGGCAGGACCCCCGGCAGGAGAGTAGACGTCGGGACCTCCAACGAGACAGGACAGGGGGTTGGCAGGACCCCTGGCAGGAGAGTAGTCGGCGGGACCCCCAACGGGACAGAACATGGAGTTGGCAGGAGCCCCAGCAGAACCTCCAACGGCACAGGACGTAGGGTTGGCAGGACCCCCGGCAGGAGAGTAGATGGCGGGACCTCAAACGGGACAGGACAAGGGGTTGGCAGGACCCCCGGCAGGAGAGTAGACGGCGGGACCTCCAACGGGACAGGACAAGGGGTTGGCAGGACCCCCGGCAGGAGAGTAGTCGGCGGGGCCTCCAACGAGACAGGACAAGGAGCTGGCAGGACCCCCGGCAGGAGAGTAGTCGGCGGGACCTCCAACGGGACAGGACAGGGGGTTGGCAGGACCCCCGGCAGGAGAGTAGTCGGCGGGACCCCCAACGGGACAGAACATGGAGTTGGCAGGAGCCCCAGCAGAACCTCCAACGGCACAGGACGTAGGGTTGGCAGGACCCCCGGCAGGAGAGTAGTCGGCAGGACCTGTAACGGGACTGGACATAGGATGGCAGGACCCCCGGCAGGAGAGTAGTCGGCGGGACCCCCAACGGGACAGAACATGGAGTTGGCAGGAGCCCCAGCGGAACCTCCAACGGCACTTCAGTAGGGACTTGAGTTGGAACTAGAGAGGGGACTCGAGGAGGGACTAGAGGAGGGACTAGAGGGACTAAAGGAGGGAACTGGAGAAGAGACTCGAGAGGGGACTGGAGGGGTGACTTGGGAGGAGACTCGACAGGGGACTCGAGAGGGGACTCGAGAGGGAACTCGAGAGGGGACTGGAGAGGAGACTGGAGAGGGAACTCAAGAGGGAACTGGAGATGGGACTAGAGAAGTGACCTGAGGAGGGACTAGGGAAGGGACTAGAGGGGGAACTCGAGAAGAGACTAGAGAGGGGACCAGAGATGGGACTATGGCAGCTGGGGCAAGAGCTGGGTCTGGAACCATGGCTGCGGGGGCCGGAATTGAAGCCAGAATCATGGCTGTAAGGTCCGGTTCTGGAGCCGGAAACATGGCTGAATGGGCCGGCTCTGGAACCGGAATTGAAGCCAGAATTATGGCTGTAAGGTCCGGTTCTGAAGCCGGAAACATGGCTGTAAGGTCCGGTTCTGGAGCCGGAAACATGGCTGTAAGGTCCGGTTCTGGAGCCGGAAACATGGCTGTAAGGTCCGGTTCTGGAGCCGGAAACATGGCTGCTCGGGCTGCTAGCCTGGCCTTGCGACGACTCCTCTTAGCAGCCGTCTGAATACTCCGTGGACCTCCATAAGCCAGAGTTCCAGAGAACGGCTCCTGGACAGGAGCAGGAACTGGGGAAAAAGCAGAGGTTGACTGCAGACGGAACACACCGAGACGTATGGTGTCAGGTTGGGAATTGGGAGGCAGGGGGCTAGCAGGCCGGGAAAGAGGTTTGACCTCAAAGCTGCCCAAAAAGTCCTCCACCCACTCGGGGAGCAACTCCCTCAACCAGGGCCTTGAGGTTACCTCCTGGCGTGCCGCAGAAATAACTAACTGCCTCTCTTCAGTACTGGAGGCATATCTAAAGTCATTCCTCAAGCTTGTTAAATTGTACTTCACCTCGTACAAACTGTCTGCTGGGTCCATTCTTGGTCGGTTTGTTCTGTCACGGTGGAGCGAAGGAAGCAGGACCCAAATGCAGATTAAACTGATAATACCTTTATTTCAAGGATAATGAAATAGAACTTGGACAGACAGAACACTCACCGGTGAACACAGTCAACAACAAAAGACGAACCGACAAAGACAGATAGAAAAACCAGAACTTAAATACACACAAGACTAATCACACAAACAAGACACAGGTGAGGAGGGAGGAGAAAACACAGGGGCTACAGGTGAACACAATCGGGTAATCAGACACACCAGGGAAACTAACGACAGGGAACCACAGACAGATCCAAACAAGACAAAACACAACGCAGACAGAAAACCAAAAACAGATCGAGACAAGACAAAACACCACAAAGACAGATCGTGACATTGGCGTAATGAGATTGATGCTTCTGTTTGCATACGCGTTGAGGCGCATCCCATAGTGAGACATCGAACGGAGTGTTATGAAGGAGAATTGCGTGCACGAAGCCCACACCTTTTTGTTTTAGACTGTATGTGAGTGGGGAGATTCCCCTTCGATTCTATTGGCTCTAACGGTCAGAAAGAGATGTCAATCGCCAAAATCGACCAATGGATTCCAGAGAACCGGTAAAACCCCCATTTCCACCCAAATCACCTCAGAGGTGGAGTTTTTTTTGCTAAACCTCTAAAAAGGTCAAATGTCACTTGTTTTGCATCAATCTTGATACAGGGTACTTATATGTTGTACTTTGGATTCCTAAAGCTTTTAGTCTACCTTACCATCATCCAAGGGTAGTTTTCACTATAAGTAACAATTTTTGGACGGACACTATAATTTAGTTTTTTACTATGTTCAATCTGAATTTTCTTTAAAATAAAAAACATCTATATTGATTCTGACTTTTCTACATCCAACTCACAGGTTTATCATTACTTTGAGAAAAACGATTATTAATTTAACCCTTTTAGAAGGGAAGATATGGTCATTTGTTCTGGGAATGTCATTTTCGAGCCTGAGACCTGAAAAACAGGCTCAGGGCTAAACTGGTTAAAGATGCAAAGCATTCCTCCTCACAAGACTGACCCCAAAAGCGTTACACGTTTTAAAGCAGATTCAAATCACACTGACTTTTATCCAGAGAATGGGCTGAAGAGGACAGCAGGATTATGTGTGTACTGTGAGATGAACTTGAATTATGACTTCCAAGTACAGAAATTGTCCTGACATATGCATAAAAAACACCAACACTGTATTTTTCCCAACTTGTTTGCTTTAATTTACATAAAACAACATTAACTTAGAAATGTGCCAGTTATAACAACAAATATTTTGGCAAGGTATAAACAAAATTCCCATCCTTCCCCCTCTATATAACAGAACTTAACATTATATACCAGGTTCAATGTTCAACAAAACATTTAACATTGCTTAGTATTAGAACTACTACTCGTCGCCGTCTTGACTACTTTGTTCATTTATGCCACGATCTGGGTCTTTGAGACGGAGGATACGGATATTTTTGCTCTGTGGAAGAGAGCTGAAACAAAACAAACAAACATGACAATGTGACTTGGAGAGAAAGTGTCTGGTGCTCTTTCCCAGAGAAACTAGGCAGCATATTGAAATCACATGACCTTTACTCCTGAACAGATTTACTTAATCAAAGCTAATTTATTAAGAATATATAAACAGTAACCAAGTGAATAAATCACATTTGGGTGGTCCTACTGCTTTGATATACAAATATATAAACATATAAGGCGCCTCTGTGATGGCCCAAAGGGAGACCACAAAGCACACGGTGGAGAAGGAGCGCTCGCCTCCGGACAGAGAGCGCATGTCACTCAACTCCACACTGCTTCCCTGGCCTGGCTGCACCTACAGAGGAAAGAAACCAAACAAAAACATTTGATCTAAGCCAAACTTTTTTCACCGAGGGCCACATACAGAAAGATATTCGAAGGGCTGGGCCACTCACTAGAGGTGAGGTTTATTGCCTCATAAGTGAAGTTATAAGTTAGCTAAATCAATCAAATGTAAGTCAATTGTGCTTGATACAGCAGCCTACATCACAACTCTCCAGAGGGTTTCATTTATTTTGTTAGCAGCTTATTCCTTAAAACAGGAGCCTCAGATTGCTTATCATAAGAGGAAATAGGAAGGGTATATTTCAAGGTTGTTATGTAAATAAGTTATTGGGCTTTTTTCTTATCAACTTAGAATATATTTTCAACTTTAATTGACTGAAAGTGGGCTTATTAACACATGAAAACTACTGTGTAATATATGTTTACAGATATATTTAAGAAGTACAAGACAAGCTCAAGTTTCATTAGTGGGCCATATTCCATTATACTTTTTTAATTTGCTGATGGCCGATTCAAAATGGCCTGCGGGCCGCATTTGGCCCCCAGGCCGTAGTTTGGACACCACATTTTACATCACGTGGTTTAAAAACTGTAGCAGTAATGTCTCATGTTTTTGACAATCAAAGAAAAAGATCAAAGTGGTCTCATTTAGACTTTAGCCATGCTGCTATATTGTTTAGTTGCTCTGGTGTGAACTGAGTGATGAACTTACTGAGATAGAGAGGGTTTCACTCTTGTGATTAAAGGTCATACTTCCAGTGTAGCCTCTCTGGGCCAGTGTGCAGTCAAAGTAATATTTACAGCGGGCCGAGAGGAACCTAGAGGACGCAGAGAAAAACGTGAGCAAATGGACAAAGAAGGAAAGATGGCAGCATGATAATAAATCTAGGAACCAAGAAACAGTGAGGGTGAAGAGAAACATGAAATAAATGTATACGCTTTTAAGTTAAGCGTACAATATTTTTCCCTGGACACAATTTGTCTCCAACTGACCTCTTGAGCTCAGAGTGCACCTGGAGTCTCTGCTTCATGACACCATCGAGACATTGGATGAAGCCGTTTAGGTTTTTAATTTGCATTGCCATGTTCTTGTATTTATGCAGAGCCTCACGATACTGCCTAGTGATTGGAGAGAAAGACAAGCGGAAGAAAGCAACGTAGATTGAATTTATTTGATTTAATGCAAGACAAGACAACAGCCGGTCGTGTTAAAGTAATAAAGTGGCATGACACTACATCATTGCATTTTAATGATCAGGGTGTTCTTCACATACCTCACTACCTCGTCACGGTTCCCCTGCTGCCTCTGCTGGGGGCTGATCTTCACGTTGAGACGGCTGATCTCGTTGTCCAGACTCCTGGCTGTCCTTCGTACCTCCACTCGCTCCGGACAGATTTCGGTGGCTTTGGCCACAGACGTCTGAAATCACAGGGTGAACAACAAAAAATGCTTCTGAGATTCAATGCAGAAGATTCTAGAAGGAACTAAATCTATAAGATTCAGAATGCATAGTTCATGGTTCATACACTTTTTCACCAATGATTTTCAATGACTTTTCCATGACTTCTCAATGACTACCTAATTTTCCATGACCAACATTTTTTTACCACTGAAAATGGTTTATTTGAACATGGAACAGGAAAATAAGGTCTGCATATGAAACATGTAGTGCCTATCTAAAACAAATCAAATAGTAGGCTTACTAGATTCTACACGCTAAAGCAACTGTAGTCAGGGATGCAAACTCATCAGGTATGAAAAAGGTGAAAAGCATCCGAGCCCCCCGACCCCACGGAATATCGGCTTTAAAATTTGGAATAACAGAGGATTTTAGCAGTCAGAACAACTAAAGCAGCAGTGGTAATAATAACAGAAACGCCAAAGAGTCACATCTAATAGAAATATATAAAAGCATTTATTTTAATTGTGTAGCAGTCAGTTTATAATTTTGGCAGCACTGTTGAGCATTTTGAAAATGTATTGTCATGCCTCTGTGCAAGGCTTAGTCTTTCTATCTTTATAGCCACTGGTGTAAAGTAACTAAGTTCATAAACTCAAGTACAATACAAGGGTACCATTTTGAGATACTTGTACTTTACTTAAGTATTTCAATGTTTTGCTACTTTGTACTTCTACCGTTCAGAGGTACATGGTGTACTTTTGCTCCACTACATGTATTTAATACCTTTAGTTACTTCACAGATGTGGATGAATGATGTTAAATATAACCAAGTGTTGAATCAGACATTAGTTCCACCTGGAGTAAATTCACAAGCTACCCTGCAGTATACAAAGTCATTCAAACTAGCTGCACCTTTACCAGCTTTGAGAACACTTTCATGATCAATCATTATAAAACATCATATATATTATTCTGAAATGGACCAATCTGCACAATGACTACTTTTACTGTCGCTACTTTAATAATAATAATAATTCCTTACATTTATTATAGCGCTTTTCCAGATGCTCAAAGCGCTTTACAAATACACATTACACATATTTTTTATACATGCAATGGTCACTGTGGACAATACCCACAGGAGAAAGTTCAGGTGAAGTGTCTTGCCCAAGGACACAACGGCTTTACAGACGCAGCAGTGGCGAGTTTCACCCCTTGATCTGATGATCATTGCACAGCACACTGCGCCACACCGTCCATCTTCACGCCTCGAAGTCATCGAGGCGCTTTTACAAGTACACATTGATATCATACATGTACTGTGGACATTACCCACAGGAAAAAATCCGGGTGAAGTGTCTTGCCCAAGAACAGTGGCGGCGCCAGAGATTTTTTCTAGGGGGTGCTGTGGGGTAGCTTGACGTTTCATAGAGGGTGCTCAAACATTAAGGGTTTCCCATTAATGCACCAGCGCTACAGTTGAATTGTCTACTGCAACACTCCCCACACACACACACAGTGTACCCGCGACTGTTACAATGAAGGCTCGGTAATCAGCTCACGGCATATAGGTGTAAGCAGGGGTAAAGTGCTATTTTTACAAGTGGGGAGTGGACCTCACCTCCTCTAGGAAGGTCCTCACCTCCTCTAGTGGGGTCCCCCGGGAAGAGTTTTTTTTAAATATTGAAGTTAAAAGCATCAATCTGGTGCACTTTGAGAGCAACATTAAGAGATCTATGGATACATCTCTCAACACCCATATGAAACAGAACTGTAAACAGATTTTCTATTTCTTTATAGATATTTTACAAATCACTCCCCTTTTAAAACAAACCGTTTGAGACCCACTGAGATAACTAGACTAAAGTTAACTATCTAAACACTGAGAGTCCTTTACTTCACCTGAGCTGAGGTTATCTTAGACTCTCAGTCTGACAGGAGAGAGTTCTCCCTCCACCCATCCGAAAATCGAATGGGTGCTGGCCATTGGCCTAATCATATCACCTGTGTTGGCTTTATGTTTTTGGTCTCAAACATTTATTTGTTTCACATTTGCATTGATGTAATCAATAATTTTTCTGATTTGATTTAATAAAAATAATAATAATTTTTTTTTAAAAACACATATTTATTGGGGGTGCTTAGGGGGTGCTTTGGCAATCCTGGGGGGTGCTTCAGCACCCCCTAGCTCCCCCCTGGCGCCGCCCCTGCCCAAGGACACAACGGCCTGACGCAGTGGCGGCAGGAGCGGTTTCGAACTGGAGTTCCCCAGCACCCCCTTGATCTGATGATCAGATGCACAGACCACTGCGCCACCCGTCCCACAAACTTTCCCACTTTAACTATATTTTGATGAGAATACTTTTCTACTTTTACTTGAGGAACATTTTGAATGCAGGTCTTTTACTGTAACAGAGTATTCCTACACTCTGTTACTTCTACTTTTACTCAAGTACAATATCTGAGTACTTCTACTTTTACTCAATGTACAATATCTATACTTATACCACCTCTGTTTATAGCCTATGAAAACAACTATTAGAAAACGAAGGCTAAAGCTAACGTTAGCTAGATAGATAGATAGTGACAATGTATGCTAGCTAGCTAGCTCAACGATTCCTTAAATAATATTGCGACAGAAAAACGTTTCAGTTCACATCACGCTCTGCCGCTCTGCTCTGAACACCTGAACGGGCCGTTCTGACAGCTGTTCACCAGCGGCTCAGTCTCTGCCACAGTGACTCCGCACAGTTAACGAACGCACCGTAGATAATGTAGCTGACCCTCATCCCGGAGCAGCAGAGTTCAGCCGGCCCGACAGGCAGGAAGACCCGAGCACACAGTTTGCACTTCATATATTAAAAAATAACACCATGCGCGTCATGATGGCACATAACAGCTCGCGACCGCAGATTATTTCGGCGATTAGATAAAATGTAAATTATATTTGACGCAACTTTAGTTACATTTCCATGACTTTTCCAAAACTTTGGGAAAAATATTGTTTTCCATAACTTTTCCAGGGCCTGGAATTTGCATTTTGAATTTCTATGACTTTTCGGTCTGTACACAACTGACGGGGGGGGGAGAGCACGCTCGTGAACTGTCAACGGGGGTGGGGGGGGCACTCGTGAACTGTTAGCGCTGGTGTTATGCATGCCCACTGCACCTCGCGGGAGCGCGCCACAGCGTAAAGCACAAACTCCCAGACATTTCAATGATTTGTATGGCAAAGTTAGGTCAGGAAACGATATAATTTCCTTTTTTGCGGCCATCCATAACAAGACATAACACCGGAGCCCTGCTGCGGGGAAACTTTGGTGCTGTTTTGAGTTTGTTCTAATCCGTCAAAATGACGGACTGCTTTCAGATTTTTCAGTCATTGTTAAAAAAAATCACACACAAAGACAAAATAAACCACTTGTAAGTGCAGCCTTTACATGTTCATAATGTAACTGTAATGTGTATTTTCTAAGTGTACTAATTATTATTGTTGTAATGCATGCAATATTTCGTCTTTTATTTTGAAGTCCAAGCTCACGTCTCGTTATACTGTTCTCGCGTGAGTTAGAGAGCGAGAACATGAGAAGCACCCTCAGAGTAAGATGCACGGATACTTACACCGAACATCCTTTAGGGGGGTCGTCGCCTCCTCTCGGGGGGTCCGGGGGCATGCTCCCCCGGGAAGATTTTTTTTTAAATATTGAAGTTGAAAGCATCAATCTGGTGCACTTTGAGAGCAACATTAACCCTACCTTAATAACACCTTAAAGCGGACAAAAGGCACTGGAGAACACTCATTAACACCCTTTAATGAAGCAAACTAATGCCTTAACTCACTCAAAAGTCGTTTACTTATTAAGGTGAAACGAATGTGCGTAGAGTTTTAAAGGATGCGGATAGTCTCACCTTGATTCTGGCGCATTGCTTATCGTTTTATAGATCTATTCTCATCCACCTTCTTTGTTTGTGACGTAAAGAGTGTAACGGCCCGTCCACACAGCGGCGTGCGTTGACGCTTGCCGGCGGGCGTGTCTGACACTCGACCAACAACCAATCACATGAATCTCCCGCCCCTGACACACAAGCAGCGGTTTGATTGGCTAGAGCTTGTACTGGCATATGATTCGATTGGCTGACGCTTCTGCCGAGGCGTCAAAAGTTGAGCATTGCTCAACTTTTGCAGCGAGCCACGCCAGCAATGCTCCGCGTCGCTTCCCACGATGCAGTTCGGCTAAAAGTGACGTCACCCCATTCAAAGTGAATGGGCAGAAGCGTTGGAAGCTTCGACGCACGCCGCTGTGTGGACGGGCCGTAAGAGTCACGTTTCTGAATCGGACACTCTGAGTGGATGCAGTCACAGCCAATCGGAGTCTGATTCAGAGGGTTGCCTGTCAGTTCTGTTGTTACACTGAACAAAAATATAAACGCAACACTTTTGTTTTTGCTCCCATTTTTCATGAGATGAACTCAAAGATCTAAAACATTTTCTATATACTAGGGGTGTAACGGTACACGTACCCGTACCGAAATTATTCGGTACGGGCCCTTCGGTTCGGTACAGGTGTGTACCGAAGTGTACCGAACGAATATAACGTTAAACGTAAAAAATTGAGAACGTGAACAACTTTTTGGAAGTAATCTCAGGTGCTGCGTCGCAGCATTCAGAGTAATTTGCTCACATTGGGTTCAACGCGTCATAGAGCGAGCAAGTCATTTCATTGGATGAGAGGCATACTATGAGAGCTGGTCAGAGGGATGCGTTCAAATGTAGTTAGTAATTTGAGGAACTGTCGAAATGGCGAACGCAGATAAAGTTGAGCTCGAAAATCCTCCAGCATCATTGAAGTCTCCGGTTTGAGAACATTTTGGTTTCGCAGTTACGTACAAGGATGAAGGACAAAGACAGGTGGACCGAACCAAAGCTGTTTGTCGGCATTGTTCAACTAAAATTGGTTACGCGGCTGGCAATACATCAAGCTAGCACACTCATTTGAAAAGGCATCACCCGAACGTG